AGCCTTGAATTTGGAGACGTCCACTCCCATATGCTCCTGGAGGAATTTTTCCCCTTCCATCAGTGGGGGAAAAACCTCCATCTCCATAGCATCGCAGAAGGTTTTCAGAGCTTCGGCAGCTTTTTTACCGTACTCCTCAACCTCCTGCTGCTTCTCTTCAGCTGCTGCTTGCTTCAGCTTAGCAAGCTTAACTTCCTCTTCAGCCACCTTCTTTTCGTGCACAGCAGCGTCTACCCTATCTTGTAGGGTATCAATCAGCTCTACAGTGAGAGTCTGATTGTGCACGAACTGAAAACAGGAAGACAAAAAAAAAATAATAAATAAAAAAAAAATATATATATGTAAAGAGCTGAATTTCGGAGGAAATGAAGGAAAATTACCTGCATCATCAGCAGTTGGTTAGACCTGGCTGGGTCAGGAACTGATCTACTGGATTCGCCCATCCCAGCAGTGGCCTTCAGCGACCAGATCCTTGCCCTGTCTACTTCGGACATGCCAGCAAAATTGCCGAAGTAGGCTGCAGCTCCTTCTCGGTTTTGACCCCATATGAGGTCCCAGATGTGATCTGGGATTGGAATTCGGGGGGCCGAGAAACCCATTTCTCCAGAATGCAGAGTCTGGAAAGAAGGGAAGGACGACGATGGAGCTTGATTAGCCTTGGTTGTCTCAGCATCGTCCTTCTCAGAGGAGTCAAGTACTATGACCTCCTCTTCTTCAGGGGTGAGGACGAAAGCCTCAACCTCTCTTGCGATATCTGCCGTGAAGCCTTCAGCACTTGACATCACGGCATCTTTATTTTCGTGCTCAGCAGCACTCTCCTTGATTTCTTCTTGGACCCCTCCCTTAGGTTCGGGAGTTCTCTGATCCACCTCCATCTCAGGAGGTGGCGGAGGGGTCTTTTGAGGAGATTGGGGTGTTGGCTGGGGAACCCTCGGCGATCCATTGCCTTCCTCAGGTTCCCTTATTGCGACGCCGATGGTCATCGGCCTCTGCTGAAAGTCATGAGGGCCGATGATGGCCATCCTTCGGCGCCTTTTCAGAAGAGGCTGCTCGTCCATATCTGAGTCTGAAGACTCTTGTATTTGATCTTCGGGACGAACAGGAGCTTTGCCTTCTCTGTGTCTGTTACTCTCTTCAGACTGTAACAGACAGGGGGGAAGAAGAGTGAATAAAAAAAAAAAAAAAAAAAAAAAAAATGAAAATGAAAATGAAAAGAAAAAAGTTGTCTGAAGCTCACCGAGGTTTTCAGCAAAGCCTCGTCTTCTTCAGCTGCTCTAGCTGCAGCTTCGGCCTCAGCAGCTCTGGAGGACCCTTCTCCTCCTTCGCAAGCCTCAAGTACCCGTGCAACCTCTTCGGCTGTGCGGGCAGCTTCAGCTTCTTCGTTCAGCAGCTGAAACCAAGGGTCTCTCTTCTTCCACCAAGGCTTCTGCCTCTGATACAGAGCAACAGCCTCAATTTGGAAGTGGGAAGAATCCAGATGAACTTCCCTATGCCTCGGCTCAGTGATAGACGGGGCCCGTTCAGTTACAACTCGCTCTCGGTTAACACCAAGACGAGCGTAGTTAATACCAACGTTGGTCTCGTCCCGCTCTGAAAAAAGGGAAAGGGAAAAAGTTTAGCTCAGATATGTTGGCACAGCATAAAAAAGCAAAGCGAGAGAAGAAAAAGAGGTAGTTAAAAGCCTCGGCCCCAGCCGAAGAAGCTTACCATCCTTAAACTTTCGGCTGAGGCCAACAGCTGCTAGCATATTCTCTTGGAAAACGTAATGCGTATCGGGGAGCCAAGTCTCCGGGATATGCTGCATTCGACCACTCCCCCCCGGGTTCGGCAGCTTGCCGAAGATATGTTGCTGATCCAGGTTCGGATCCGCCCCGTTATCTGCGGGGGGACCTAGACTTCCCATTTCGGGATCAGGCTCAGCTAAGTACCGGGGAGCGCTGAAGACGCAAGGGTGGCCCGGATCTATGGGTGCCCTAACCCAAATCCATTGACCTCTCCAGTCCTTGTCTGAAGAGTCATTTGGCCACATGGTCAAGTATTGGGGCCGGGACTCAATCCGATACCACCCAGAACCATGGCTTCCGTGCCCACTCTGAATATTTGGCACTAGCCGATGGAGCTTTCTGAAGCAGTGCAGGTTCGGCACGTATTTGAAGAACTTGCAGACCCATAAGTATGTCATCACCCTTCGGATGCTGGTGGGGGTTAGCTGACATAGGGAAATGTTGTAATGGATCAGCAAGTCTCGGACGAAAACGTCCAAAGGGAACCTCAGCCCATACTGAAGCTGTCTCGTGTACACCCCCACATACCCCGGGGGTGGACGATGGATTCTATCGGATGCTGAGGGCATTCGGCACCAATATCCATCAGCTTCAAAAATGTCGTAGTGCAACTCAATTTGCTCAGCAAATCGATATTGATCGGCGTTCTCTACCCACCATGAGTAGGGGCGGTTCTTTATCATGGCCGAAGCGACTTCGGCATTCTCCCACTCTGAAAACCCAGGGAGGATATCCCAAAGGACAGCGGGAATTTCATCGTCCCGTCCAGAAGCACTCGGCTCATCCGTTCTTTGAGGAGGAGCCGAGGAAAGGGGAGTCGCCCTAATCCCTTCAGCAGGGTCAGACTCCGGCCTTTGACCATTCCAGGTCCCAATCCTATTCCTAGGATCGGGAATCGGCCTTGCTCTTCTTGGAGCACGGGCTCTACCTCTAACTCCTCTTGCCATGGATTATTTCGAAGAGAAAAGTCGAAAGAAAAGGGGAAGGAGTTCGAATTCGAAGAAAAATAAACTGAAATCAAAGGAATTTACCTTAATCTGAAGCGAAAGTTGCCGATTTACGAGTTCGTAGTGGCAAGTCTCAGTTTCTAAGCTCAATGCTCGGGGGAATTTGCGAAGTTTTGATGCGGGTTCTTGGTTTCTCTCTCGAAGAATTCTGGGTTTGTGTTGGTGAATAAGTGAGGAGAATGACGCGCCTCTGTTTATATCTCCAGGTACGGGATACGAAGAGTCTGTGCTTTAATTTCTCTTAAGTACCCACTAAGTAACCATTAAACACATGTCTTGTGATTAAACTGCCCATTATCCGTCCAACTTCCGCAAATCATTAACCGTTGTTATCTCATTAATTACGGTTTAAATTCAAATTTTTGGATCAATTAAATCATTTACTTCCCTCCTTTTCTGAGTTAAATCAAACCCGACCCGTCATTCTTCCAAATCGGGTCTGGGGGGCAAGTTGTTTGGGTCCAATTTAGTCAAAGTTGGGCCTGAGCACTAAATGATCCAATTAAAAGCCCAAGGTCAAGGTTCAACTCTCCAATTGCTCAAAAGTCAAAAGTCAGCCCACAAAGTAAGCCAATTGGGCTAAAGCCCAACCTCTCCAAGTATGATGAGGTATAAAAGCCATCATATTAACACATTCAAAGGGACATCACATATGATCATTGACATTCCAATTCATATGCTCATTCTTGCATTCAGAAATATTCCACAAAAGCCTCAAGCTACAAACTCTCTTGCATAGTGTCTTCCTTCTACACATTGTACTGACTTTAGCATCGGAGGGGCCTTCCTCGGAAACACCCCCGAGGCTAGTTTACGTGTGTTCACTGTGCAGGAAACCTTCGGCCCAACACAACTTGGATCGAATCCAGTCTTCTCCATTTCAGTGGACCTTCGGCAAGGTCCCATTGTTTTCAACCGAAACACAAGCTAATACCTACATTGTCTATAATCCATCTAGCTATAAATGTTCATCTATCCATAGAAATTGAATTTAGAACTTCAACTAAAATTGATAGACATAGAACTCTTGATCTTTCTATAAAAGGCAAGTGAGGCTCGCTAAGAGTTTGATTTGGCACCTCTTTTGCTATATATGGAGCTTGGTTCTAAGCACACTTCAAAAAATGGGGGCTTGGAACTTGTTAGTCTTCGAAGGCTATGAATACATTATACGCGAAGTACCTATATGCTAATAGACTATTCCATTTCGGGTTAATTTGCTCGTTTATACTAGTTGCCGTAGTTCTTCATGCCGTATCTTCATGTAATTTGGTTGATTAACTTAACAAACTTAGATAACATTTTCCTATTCTTAAAAAGGTGATCACTATTTTTTCCATCAACAATCTTATAAACTATTGTTGTTGTTGTTTACACCAAGTTTTGCCAAATTCATACATAGTAAACAACTACTTGTTAAATTGCGTTGGATCAACTAGTTATGTACCGACCATTTCAAATATAGAAGTAATGAACAATTTATGAGAAATGAGAATATATTGACAAGCATAATATAAGGAAAGCTTTTGACGTTGAGATCTTAGCTTTGTTGAATTGTATTTGCACGCTTCCTTTGGACAAGACACGAGAGGGTTTTTGTTAATGTGAATAGCATCCACCCCTAACAAATGCTATTAATTAGCATAAGTTTCTAAATATGCCAAATTTTATTGCACGAAGTAACCACCAACGCAATAACGTGTTGCACAATAACACGGCTTGTATAAAACATGAGATAGCTTCACATTAACTTTTTACAAGACTGTAAAATTTAACATCCCAATCTCACAAGTTATTGTAACTTTGTGAGTCAATAAACTAGCTTGCCTTTCTCAATCTTCAATTGTTCAACGGAGATCAATCTTCTTTTAAGCACTTACTTTATCACTAGTTAAATGTTTCACATTCAATAGATCGATTATATTGCCTAAAACAGGATAAATAGAGCACATAATTTTAGACTACTTAATGGATAGGTTACCTAGATACACGTGATGGTAAACAATCATAGGTTATAGTGTGATAACTTAACAGAACAATGAGTATAATCCATCTAAAAAGCATAAGTCATATTGGATTATTTAATGTGAATAATAAATACAAATGGGTTAACAAGGTAATTCTAACACTCTACCTTACACTTCATACAAGACAGCCGAAAACATCCAGGATTTGACCCAATTGCTTTATTTGTTGGAGTTGGTAAAGGTATATAAAATGAAAAAGTCAATATAAACTGTAAAAGTTCTCACAACAATTTGGTATATAAAAATATGACATATACAAAAGAAAAAAGTCAACTACAATGAATATTTGATCCTCAAAATCCAAGATCTACTATTCAATAATCAAATTTGGAAGGTAGCTTCCACTTCCACAAAATCAGCCAAAATTACATTGACTTTTGAGAGCCTGTAACCTCTTGCTAAAAACTAGTAATATGGACCCAATTTTCTTCTTCTTTTTCTTTTTTTCGGCAAAAAAAATCAACTAACAAGTATATAATATAATTACGTGTGGGGAAAATTTTTACCTTTACATTTATACAATGGAATCATAAATTTATAAATTCCATTTTGAGGCACACACTGACCAAACTCCTGAGAATTTACAAGCGAACCGGTAAACCATAGTTCTGGAATACCCTGATTCGACCATCCCAACCTGCGGTTACAATGACTAAACCCCACGCGTGTTGGGAGCTTGCCATACTTTGACATGTTGTTTTTAAAAACTTGTACTCTGATTTGCAAGTTGCTGATGAAACAATAAGGGAATTTGAGCTGGTTAGCTTCTCTTCCGGCCAGGTTGCAACCCCTCTGGAAAATGGATCTGGAAAGCCCAGAGAAATGGCATCTGTTGAGAATAATGATGTTCTGAGGTGTGGGCTCTCGGCGGAAGGTTGATGTTCCAGTCTTCTTTCAGCTGTGTATCGAACCATGATTCCTGGAGAAGTTGCTGATGATTCCGAGAGACAAGGTAAAACATTGCTGCATGTTGTTCCATACCAAGGAACAGCAACACAGGCGTTGCTTGAGAAAAATCTCTCACAGGAGCTCTTGCTCCGAAAGTGAGATGAAACTGTTCTGTCTGATTTATTGGAGTCCCATACATAAACAAAAGAGTCTTCACTCGCTGAGACAATATGCTTTCCATCTGATGTAAATGATGCAGATATTTGGCTTCCTGCATTTCGAAGACCTGATAACAGCAAATAACAGATTAAAAAATCAGGCTACAAAATCAATTAGACTATACAAATTAAATTGCATAATTCACTCCTGCTTAACTGACAGCAAGATTTAAGTGCTCATTTGGTCGACATAGAGAAAGTAGATAACTGGAGAAATGTTGAAAAAAACACAGGTAGTTGTTTGCCCGGTCCTCTAGGTTAGTGGACCAAGATAAAATTTCCAAAATTTTGCAAAACTTCCAGAGAAATGTAATCAGTACTAAATAGTCATATTTGTCTGTTTGAGTAATGATTTAGTTTGGATGACACAGAAGCCTTGAAGAAAATTAAAAAAGGGAAGAGTCACCAACCTTTATATTTACAGATTACATCAACCCCTTTGAGTATTCGGACCTGGGAATCAGCAGTAGTAACCATGAGCTTGCTTGGGTCACCAGGGGAAAACTGTATCCGTCATATACAAATTGAAGTCAGCATTACAAAATACTAGGGAGGTGACATAGGAGTGGTAATAACAAAACAAGCAAAAGATAGTAAATTTGAGAAAATAATCACCTGAAACCCAGTAATTCTTCTCAAGGGTGCCTTCTTTTTACCATGCAACGATATTTGATCAGTCATTTGCAGCCGATCATCTGTAAAAAAAAAGAATCTTAGACAAGGAATAGATGAAACTATATTAAAAAGACACAACTACACCACAACAATATTGGTAAAACATAAGTGGAAAATCAACTTAACATATAATTCAACTAGACATCTACAGTTGATAAATCACTTTTCCAAGTTTAACTGCTTATCAATGTGGAGGCATTATGTAAGCAGTAAACCAGTAAGAAAGACAGAGATCCCTCACTGTGGATTCAACAATTTGTTTAGCAGAAATGATATACTCTGTATTATTCTAGTTTTCATCAAACTATATTAAGTAGTAGAAGCTTAAATTCTTTATCCATCAAAGCAAGTCTCACAAGTCAATATAAAAATTATAAATTTTAAAAATAAAAATAAAAGGTAGGATCATAATCCTTTTAAACCCAGATCCTAACTCCATTTTAGCTACAGGCAATCTCCAAAGCAAGTTTCATCATGACATAATTGCACCATGAGAAAAAGGTGGTAAACAACATAATCCTTAACTACACCTATTCGATGGTTTAAAAGACCATGCCTTAAATCCATTGCATCATCTGATGGGCATCTTTGGGAACGAAATGCTTGACTTGAGTTGACATATAATGTTTCAAAAGAACCAGAGACTTGGCTAGTGAAGTGGATGGTAATAAAAACATACATTTTACTAGTGGGTTACGATTTATGAAGGACATATGTAGATGAAATGTTTTTGCTTAAATGTCAGACTTTACGTCATAGATCTAAACTGTCAAGCATCCAAATTACTGCAATATGAACACTGGACTAATCCTTAAAAGGTAAAATCAAAGCACATTATCTACATCAGTAATGCCTGAAAAACTGCAGTAGAGGCTGAAACAAAAACGCATACCTGAAGTATCAAAGAAATAGCAAGCACCAGATATTGAGCCAACAATTGCACCCTACATCACAAATACAAAACCTCTTTAAAACACAGGCCTTCGATGTCAAAATTTCTGCAGACAATATGGCCAAAAAGTGCAAACCTTTCCATCAGGCTGATAACAAACAGCAGTGACTATTTCTTTGATGTCAGTCCAATCAACAACTCCACTTTCGGAAATGCTCCAAATACGAACCTTACCATCAACAGAACCACTGATGAAGAAATTTTCATTCATGGGATTAAACTGAATGCATGTGACTGATTCAAAAACAGCAGGACATACAGAAATAAGTTCATGTTGAGTACCAAAGCACCAAAATAATTGCTAACAAATAAGTGCAGGAGAGCAAGATAGTACCAAAATCGCTGTGTGAAAAAACTTTCAGGCACTCATCAAATCCCACTCTCCACAAACGGACAGTTTTGTCGACAGAGGATGACAGGAGGCACTGCATAGTCAGGGAAAAATTTTGAAACTTTCGAAATTAAATCTGGGAGAAACACAGAATGAACCCAATTCCAAAGCAACTGACCTTGTTATTTGACCAGGAAAGATCCAACACTTCACCACGATGACCATGGAACTCATGAAGAGGCTTCTCTGCTAATTGGAATACTTTCCGTGGGAAGATAACACACGCAGACTCAGGTGATTTTCTCAGGCTCTTCAATCTCCCCCTTTTTTCTTTGTCAACATTAACAGGTACTAATTCTCCATGTTGGTTGATTGTAAAATAGACATGTGCAGCATCAACATCTGGAACATGATCTATTTCTGACTTCTCAGACTCAATCACTTGCCATACCCGAACAGTTCCATCCTCACCAGCACTTGCCAGAAACTGGCCATCAGGACTGAACTTCATTGTAAGGATAGCACCTTCATGTCCAGCAATATCTTGCCCCATATAAAGAGCCGAAAAATCCTTAGAACGCTTTTTGTAAGTGCGAACCCTAACATTATGAGCTCTACGTCTTAAAATTGATAAAGAGCCATCACTTTCTACTCGGTTAATCCTTGAGCTTGACTGTGTATCCGCAATACATGCCACAACACCTAATCTCCGTAAAAATCCTTTTTTAGCTCTCTTTTTTCCTTCAACTTTAGTATTGGGTGCCAAACCACCATCTCTTCTCATGGCTCTTTGAACCAACGGCGATAGGCCCAGAATCCGCTCAAATTCCTCCCCACTGAGCGACCTATTAGATCCCACTTCTCGAAGTCTTCTGAATAATCCATCTTGCCCAAGTTCATCCACAATGAACTCCGATCCATCGTCCAAATTCCTGATTCTCCGGACCAAATTCTCCTCGATAGCCATATCCAACAACTCATGCGTATCATTCGAGCAACATGATACAGAAGACTGACTCGACGAATGCAGCTCCCTAAAACTCGACCTCAAAACCGTCCCACTATTTTCCATAATTCTAGCACTATCCACAACCTCCCCCTCAAATCTGCTAGAACACTCAACATCATCCCCTTCCTCCACCACTTGATTCGGAGCTAAACCCATCAATTTCAACAGCTTCTGACGGCGCTCACCAATAGTTCCGGGACTTCGGATCCAAACCTCATACCCGAAATTGCGAAGCACATCCTCAGCAATCCTTGATTCTGAATCAGAATTCTCCACCCCATCGGATCCGGAATCCGAAACAGGGGTGATATAATCCTTAGAATCATAAAATTGGTCATCTTCTTCACTTAGACTACCCATTTCCCACTTATTGTTCATTCAACCCATGAACTACAAGTCTACAATCCACCCCGGATGGATCAATTATAAAAACCCCAACATAATTAGCACCCAGAATTAACAAATTCCAGCTGTGCAGCAAATAATTCTCTCTCTACGCAACAACAAACAAAAAAAGAGGAATTTTTTCAGCTCATCATATAAACTCACAAAACACAGATCCCAATTCTAACTAATTCAACATAATTCAAAACAAATCAACTAAATTTATATGCATAAAAAACTAAAATTTAGCATCATTTTTCAGTACAAAACAACACAGAGATCACGGCGAAAAGGGGGGAGGGAGCAAACCCAATTTCAAGAAATTAAAATAATGATAAATAATTATAAAAATCAACACATAATTACCAAGAAAAACGAAGAATGTGAACAAATAAAGTACTAGAACAAAATATTAATAAGAGGAAGCAAACAAACAAACAAACAAACAAAAAAAAAAAAAGTGGGTAGGGATTTGTAAACATACTAACCTGGGGAGAAGAGAGGAGTGAGAAGTTGAACCACAAAAACCAACAAATTCTTGGGGAATTCACAGGTTTTGTTTTCTCTCTCTAAAAATTGAAGGAAGAAGAGAAATAGTCTGTATCAAATAAAATAATGATCTGAAAATGAAAGAGAGAGATAAATACAGGACAATAGTAGTAGTACTACTCACATCACATGGGATTTTTTTAAAATTTTTTGGAGTGAATTAAATTGAATTGTTGGATTGCAATTGAATTGTAATTGAATTAAACTGGAAATATAATAATTAAAGCAGAAAAACAAAGTAAAGAGGAGAGAGAAAAAAGAAGGAAAAGTCTCGAAAAAAGTGAAATGGTGAGGAAGGTGAAAGGTTGTGGTTGTATTTGTGCGAGTATTCTTCTTCTTTGGCTGCTACTGTTACGGTTAGTTATCTTACCACCGGAAACTTCATTCTTGTTTAATGTTTGATTTGTTTCATGGTTTGGTTAGCTTCCAACAAGGCATTCATTGTTTATCTTAGGTTTTGACGACACTTTGGTCCGTCTTCCTTATCAAGCCTGGACCCTTTTTATAGGCGGTAATAACACTTTTGAAACTACTTGTATAGGATATTCATTTGTAAAAATAATCTCTAACGACTTATGAATTGTGACAATGTATGTGCTTGCTTCTTTATACTCCATTGTGCTAATTGTTAATGTTTTTTTGCCTTTCTACATTTTTTTCCCACGTGATAATGTACATGTTATTTAGATGTTTTTAGAGTTTATTCGTATCGATGACACCTTTAAAAATTACTCATATTGATGATATTTGCAATATTCATAGAAAAAGTACTTAATCGATCATATGTTCTTATTAGGATACTCATAACAGATTAAAAGTTATTATAACCCATATACCAATGATTGTGGTCAATAGAGTGTGAGGACTCTATTGCTTAGAGCATCTCTCTTGATTTTATGAGTTTGAAATTGAATCTCACTTTAAACATGTTGAAAATTTGGAATCCCCTTCATTTTCCCGGACAAGTTTAGGTTTTTCATTGCCTTAAAAATAAATAACGATTGTGGTAAATTGGTAATATTTGTCCACTTCCAAATACAAGCACGAATAATATTTTCATTTTTCTCATTAATTTTCATTACCGCATATAAAATATCTTCTTCCTATAATATCATTGCAATTAATTTCCATCATCACCTATCCCCACGATCAACAAAAACCTAATACAAACCTTAGACACATGTATTCATTAAAGTCCCACTTGTGCCTACACATAGACCCATGAAAAATAATAAGACTAAAAAAGGAATGAAATAACAACCAAAATTTGGCAAAATTAGGAGAAAAAACATTAAAAACATAGCTAATTTAAGCACTCATGAAATAGGAAAATTGTAAGAATGAAGTGACGGTTCGAGGTTGGGAAGGGAGGAAAGCATGAAACATGTTACGAGTGTCAGAAAAATAGCAGCAGCTACCTAGGTTGGTTCATCAAGCCTAGTACTACTACTACGGAGACTATCTTAGCTTAGGCTGGGTGCCACACCAGACACCACTGTCATTTACTGCCAGACTGTTGCGCCAGCGAGCCCAGCATGCTGCATGACATTTAATTCTTCAACCCTGCTCTTTGTGCGCTGCTTTTATTTTCTGCCCTTTTTTTTAGCCCACCTTTACGTTTGTCCTTCAAGGACTACCTCTTTTTACTCCCGTATTAGAATAATTAACACAGTATGATCAAATTTCATACTTATGCGTGATAAAGCACTATTTTAACCTGGAATTTATACTCCTACTTGTTAAATACGTCAATTATTTATGAACACGGTGGAGTATATATGATTAAAACTTAATAAATAATATAAAAAGATTGATATTATGAAACCTTTAAGTTACACCTGCAAAATACTTAATACTTAACAACGTATTTCAAGATTTAAAAAATAAAATATAAAAATACTCCATGCAAAAATTTAGTGACAACATAAGAAATAAAATTTAATTGAAGGTGAAATATTTAACGCCAATATTGTGAGTTAAACTAATAAAAAGGACCTAAACTTTAGCATTTTTCACCTTTAAGGACCTAGGTTAAGGTTTTTGGTCATTTAACTCACCTTTAACCATAGGCTAACTTTTCAAATGTTAATATAGTATTATTTGTATTTTTTTAGTTTATTAAGAAAAGGGAAAAAAAATACATAAAATTCAAAAGTACTCGTTGCATAATAGTTATAATTTTAAGCTATTATAATATTAACGATTCAGCTATTATAGTTAACAGAAATAAAACATAAATTACCTACAAATGTACTCTATCTCTTGCATTTTTTTTTTTTTGATAAACCATTATGTTATTCTAATAAGGAGCACCTCTTGAGTTATTGCTAATTAAATATATTTCTTGTTAAATAATTTGACTTATTTATTGAAATATATATAATAAAATATTGTAAACTTCTTTAATTATATACTTACATCTATTAATAATTAATTTAAACCCACTATTTCAATAAAGGAAGTGAGAGGAAGGGGGTTTTTTTGAGATTGATAAATATATATTTTAGCAAACAATTTTAAAATCAACACTTGTATTAACAATATTAAAATCGACGCTTATAATTTTAAAATCAACATTTCTACGAATACTCAACACTTATAGCAAGTTATATATCTCCATGTTTTTGTGCTTTTATCCAAAGTTTACGAAGTAATAACAAAAGAACTCTCGACCAATATCAAGCATTTTTTTCTCCCTTATTCATCCAAGAAATTGATCTACTATGAAACTTAAACTTTTACATCATTATATTCTTACAGATATTTTGCCTTCAGTTTTCTTATTTTTTTATAAGTGTAGAGGTGTAAAAAATGGTTAAGTTCTTATAAGTGAAAATTATAGAAGTTTAGCTTTTGTTCTTTCTTCTTATTATTTTTTAACCTAAAGAACTCACTAATTAACTAGTGTGGTGAACTTTTCACCAATGAGGTCCTTAAAGGTGGAAAAAAAATTATGAGGTCCTTAAAAGTGAAAAAACCAAAACTTTGGATCGTTCATGTATGCTTAACTCCCAATATTATCAAACCCAAATATTGATCATGATTTAGATGTGAGATTTTTAACTCCATGTAATAACACTGCATAATGTTTGAGCCCAAATGCTACTCTTATTTTATTTAGTCTGTGCCCAAATGCCACTCCATCCATATTTTAACGATTAAATTAAATTTAATATAATTAAGAAAAAAATTGCAAAATGTTATAAAATCGAGAGAAAAATTGATCCCGCAGCAGATCAATAGCTCTTTCCATTATTTCACGGCATCTGCATAGCAAGCGAAATATTGCTAATTGTTGACATGTTGTACTTCTAGATCGAAGACAAGACTTCCAATATTTGAAAGATCCAAAGTCCTTTTTTTTTTTTTTTTTTTTTTTTCAATTTTAAGATTTTTTTTTTAATGTTTGATCCTTAACCTGGTTATTTGTCCAAGGAGCAAAACACTTCCAAGATTACAGGACATTGAGACGTACAGTTGTATGAACACAAACAATTCTATTTAGTACATTATTTTAATAATGATTATTGTTTTGATGAATGGTCAATAATTTTGTAAAGGTGGATTATGCATGAATGCATTGCATAACTACTGTTTGTTTAGGATGGGGTCAAGGTTGATATTGGATTCTGTGTGAAGCAAATAAGCTTGTACTTTGGAACAAGTTTTTTAATACTATTAAATTAATGTTGGATTATGAAAATTACTCTATAAAAAGTGTTGGGGATTGGAGCTAGCTTAGGATTAGAGTGCCAAATCTTGGTAAAATTATACTCGATCTTAAGTTATTTGACAAAACAAGTAAAATATTCCAAAAATGTTTAAAGTGGAGAGTAAATGTTAATTAATTTACTGTGGTATGCCTTTCTGAAATTATACATTTATACTCATCCAATCATCCATAATGATGTTTTCACACTCAAATGACAGTCACATAATAAATGTTCATATAACTTGTGAAAGTGTGATAAGTCGCTTTCTTTGGTGGTTTTAAGGAATTTTGATGGTATTTTTTTCTCAAATTATTTCTTGGACATATTATTTACTATGGACACATTTCAAAGGTACAATTTTATTTTGATTATTCACTGGCTATCCATACGCGCCCGGCCAGTGACTCCTATTTGTACAGCTTGTACTTCAACTTGCATCAATAGTCATACCCTCCGTTTATAATCGTAACTCCTCACAAGAATGTGTTATTTACCTACATGAACTTATCCAAACTTGATCAAGCTTATCTACAATATATTTAAACAAATTTAATTAATTTTAGTTGTGACTTGAATAGGGTAGCTTGAGTTTTCTTAAATCAAATTAATCCTTACAATTATTTTTTTTCCCTTTTTTTTCTTAAAATTTTTTTTTTTGAACCAAACAGAGCTTAATAATGACTCCAGATTTTGTCCGATCATGTGCTGAAATCTAGTGATCCCCACTTTGAAGTGACTCCTTTTTTTTTTTTTTTTTTCTTTTTTTACATTGCAGAAGTGACTCTTATTGGAGTCATTATATTGCATGAGGAGCATCAGGGACTTTATATTGTTTGGTGCATGGTCCCATTCAAAGCAATAGGTTATATAAAAATTTGTGGTGTTACTTTGATAGTTTGATATACTCTTATAAAGTTATATGTCATGAATTTCTAGATCATTGGACTCATTATAAACCTTTTATGCCCATCAAAAGATCCTTAAAAAATTTGTATGAAATTCTACCTGTAAATTGTTTACCTGACTTTTATAAGCATTCTTTAAAAAAATGATAGTGTATTCGTGTTAACTTTCTAGCGATTATGAAGATATCCAAAAATATTAAAGTCGGTGTTTATTTATAGTTTATATATTGAGAAGCTCTCAATCTATGCTTAGGGGAGTAATACATAAGACTATTGACTATAAGAGGGACATAAGGGTATTCATAAATGTATACGTATGTAAAGCAAATCCTAATTTGCTTGGTCAACCAAATTAAAGGTCCAAAACGTGTTACAAAATTCCTTAAAAAAAAAAAAGTGTTATTAAAAAACAAAATACAACCACTGTATTATTATTTTAGCGAAACTATACAATATATCTAGATCAAATTAAAATTTGCTTGGTCAAGTAAACAAAAGGTCCAGGACGTGTATTTTTTTAAATAATACAATAGTATTAGCATAAGGTACGCCATACCTAAAGCATGTTTTGGTTCAAGGAAGGACGATGTTGACCGATAGGCCATGCAAAGGTCCACCAACCAAGCAGCCAGTGGCCAAGGCTTATTTCATCCTCTACTTTAAACAAAGTATAATTACGCTTGTTTGATTGATATTAAACATTTCTAGATTGTTATAATTCTTACAAAGTGAAATGCATATATGTATGAGAATGAGATTACTTACTCGTATAATCGATCAAATAATTTGGTACACTAATTAGTTCGATCTTACACAAT